ACTCGAGTGCTCCTCGCAGCGAATACCTCGCGCAGTAGTTCTGGGGCTACTTGAGCTAAACTGTGATTGCCTTAAAATTCCTACGTCACAGAAATCGTTTCCTGGTTCGGTTTCGCAGACGTTATTTTCGGCGGAGACAAGCGACAGCCGGAAATAGTCACGCCAGCAAGGTGCAATCGGTTGCTTAGCAACTCTGAGACGACAACTGTGGACCCAATCCAGTGTAGAAGACAGAAATTCGCAGTCAACTGGTTCTTTTTGGCTGGACTGAAGAGCAAGTAGCAAATGTCCAAGATTCACTAAAGTGGAAAGTATTTCATCACATTCCCAAACACTGAGAAGAGACCGAGTTAAAAATATGGCTCAAAGTGGGGTAGATTGGACGAACTTCAAGGTGATTGAAAATTTGATGAAAAAGAGATCAACTGTTTGATATATCTTCTAAATTGATACTAAAAGTAAAGAGACTGACACATGAAATCATAAAATTCTGTGCAAATTAAAATCCCATATCAAAACCACGGTTACGGTTAGTTACGGTTAGTTACGGTTAGTTGCGAATCCTTAATAAGCTTGACAGAAAAGTGTATGAAAATGAGGCCATTACTTACTTGGTGGTTTGCGACTGTTTCTAGTAATCTTTGTAACAGAATATGGTCTGACAACCAAAGCACTTTGAATGGCGTAAGAAAGATTTCTCACTGCACGGATAGTGGACGTCGCAGATCCTACAAAACACGAGACATACTAGTTACTCAACTGTCAATCAAATATAACTCGGGGTTCACGAGCTCGAGCAAAACGTTACGCCGGGAGTTATGCTGCTTTACGTAGCATTAAGCGACTAGGAGCCCTGCTACTCCCCTCTAAACAGAATTTGGTCAGGTTTCTCCAACTCGCTGATACCCATTTACACACCTGGGTGGAGAAACGCACTGTAAGAGTAACGTGTCTTGCTCAAGAACACAACACACTGGCCGGCTAGAACCGGATCCTCTCCAAACGGAGATCAACGCCCTAACCATAACCAAGTTAAGGACACCTTTCACGTTCTACCATTTTCCGCACCAGCCGTTGAAAGAAGCATTGTCCTCTTGTAAACATTTTTAAGAGGCTCTGAAATCTTTGCCCGGTAATTTCAGATCTTTTGCCGACACTCGTTTCACCTCACTTATTTCAGCTTTCTTGCCAACACTAATTTTAAATTCCTTACCAAGACTCATTTTTCTTGTTGGAGAACCTTTCTTTAAGGAAGGAGTCGACTGGACGATCCTCAGTGGCTGACCGTGTAAATCGTTCTTTCCTTGTTCACGTACCAGATCAAAGGAGACCTTTCGTTGACGAACAGAAGTGGTGTCTGACTTGGCTGATGACGGTTTTGGTCTCCCTGTTGATCAAGAATTTCAGTGTTAAGCATTGCATGGTAATATTCATGCCCTGTGTTTGCAGTAACCAGAACATAGCAGTTTACAGTGGTGAATGAAGTGTTGTGAGGTTAACCTACAATGAGGCCCTCTTCTGGATCGTGAAAGTCGATAAGGCAGAGGGCGTGAGGAGGAGCCCCTCTTCCCACTGAAAATATTCTGACCATCCCCGTTATCAGAGGAGGCTGACTTGAAAATCGGAAAGAAGGCCTGATTGACGTGGTAATTGACGCGTAAACATGTAACAATCTTTTGATGTGGAATCCATGTAGTGATACACAGGTGGGATGTGAAGTCTAGGCTGACTACATGGTAGCTGCCTGCCTGCCTTGCTATGGCTTGTAACTGGGGGAACACAAAACCAAGTTTACATTAATGACAAAACAAACAACGCAGTAGTCTTAACCCTAAATGTTTTTAAAGCTCTATTAAAGATTCTTCCCATTACCTATATCAAATACGAGCTTGATTAAGTCTGGTTGAATTTTTTATAAAAAAGCAAAGATTCCTAACTCCTCATGTAAGAAGTATTAACACAAAATTAATAGGTATCAAACAGTCCTTGTTGGTGCAGACGGAATAAGGAATTAGCATTATAAAGTGGTTAACTTAAAACAAGCATTTCGGTGATAAATCAGCCTTCTAGTTTAACGTGCTTACAAGAAAAAAAGTGCACACTGAATACAAGTTTTAATTTTGTTTTTATTCTATCTACGTATAAATGTACATTTTACACCTGCCTATCTGACAAGATATGAAAGTTACAATGAGTTACAACACATTCATTAATTTGTGCAGAACACCGTGTCACTTAATAAAAGCACGGAAACATACGTCTTAACATTGCACAAACTGTGTCACCTGTCACGCGACTCGCGTCACAGTTTATTGTGTCATAAAATATTGGCTAGAGTGACAGTCTTGCCAGTGGACACTATTGTGCTGCCAGCATACCATGCCATACATACACATGAAAAAAAAAAAAAGCAAAAAAACTTTAGCATGAAATAAAATATTACTTCTTACAGTGTGGTGGTGTAACAGTGTTACAATAGTGACATATTACGACTAATAAAACTGACTTACAATACACACTAAAATGCAAATTAATTGTGACAATGTTCTTTTCAATGAAGTGCAAAAACTGAAAATAATATTACAACAAATATTATTTTTCGTAGCGTCCATCAGAAGGAAAAAACACCCTGATGGGCCTTGTTCTCTGCTGTTTTGAGTGAGAAATTTAAGTACAGGCAAAGGTGGCTGCAAACTGCAGGGATCACACTTAACAAGATATTTCTTGAAGGGCGAGAAATGATCAAACGGACTTTTTTGTCGTTAGAAATCATAATCTTAGAAATTGAAACTAAATATTCTGTTCGCTAACTACAAAAAAGAAGACAGACCATCTCATACTCAAACTTAAAGAAAAGTATGGGTAAACATAAAACTGGGCAGAATATCTGATTGTCTTCCTGTTCCTAATACCCTCTTTATCACCTTCTTCCATCAATGGCAGTTCGTCTTCTTCCACGCTGCTTTTTCGTTGATGTTCATCATCAGTTGAATCGTCATATTCATACTCTCCATCTTCTTCGTGAACGGCGAGCAGATCAGCCCCGACTCCTGTTGTTATTAACAGTTTTCAAGGCCACAAGAAATGTTAGGCAGCAAGAAACAAGATATAGACAGTTAAACTTAGTGCTAAGATTGAACTTGTTTAACCTGTACATTGAAGGCTGTTACTGATAAGTAATATTAAGCAGTTAGAGACCAGAAAGCTGATCACAGGCTTGTTTTTATACATTTAGCACAGGCAAAAGTCGGAATAGATAGCGAATAGATAGTAATGGGACGGTTATTTGTCAAGGACTGTGGACCGTCGATTTTAATTGCAAACGATGCGAAAACACGCGATTAATAACTTGTTTGCAACATACTGAGCAAAAACGACATCCAGGAACGGAGTCGTGGACAGGACGTCACATAAACGTTCCAAGTCTACGCGATTTAGACACACCTGCTATTTATGATAATTAACGTACTCCTACCTGTCTTTGAAGGGTCGTTTTTGCCGTGCAGTGCAAAATACTGAACGCTCGTTCTAATTCTCTTAATAGAGTTAAAATGGTGAGTGAGACAAACAATGTCCTTCGAAGTAAGAGCATATTATTCAGAAAATCGCCAGTAGTCAGTCAGCATAATGGCTTATTCGTCAAATAAACAACTGACTGGTTCTCCTTGAATAAAATCGCTGTTGTACAAATTTAACGATACGATCATTGCTTTAGCGGAGCCATAACAAAGCAGCACAATAATAGTAACGGCATGCATTGTACTTTCAGCGTTATTTCTCGCTATCCCAGGAGCTGTAATCCCAGTAAAACATCAACAACAATTACTCTCCACCTCCCCCCTACCTAAACAACGAAAAGTGTCAAGATTCAAACAGGTCTCACAGTTCATGGATTCCGACAAGTGGGGAAAAAACCTTTGTTAGGCGATTTTGGTGAACGAAAATTATCGACTATTTTAAAATTACACACGGAAACGGTGTAACAAAAATTTAAGTGTACCTAAACCTTTAGGCTACGCTAGTAATGAAGACACGAACATTGAAGCTGAGAAAGGTCAAACCAATCAACTAGCGAGGTTACTCTACCAGCAGCTCCTCTTTTCTCTCAGTTCCCTGAGCGTGAAACGAACAAAAGAGCGCCAGACATAATAGGCTCCCGAAAAATCTGCCAGTTTCCCACTCACTCTATTTTCGCACACGCTCGGGGCTATTCGTAGCTGTGTTGAACTTGCTCTATCACAGAGAAAGTGTTTTTTTGGAAATCTTCAAGCTGGGCCAGACTTTTCCACTTGCTTTCCAAACACATTCCTGAATGTTTGTTTCGAATGAAACACTTATTTATGGAAGTTACCTTGCCCCTACGCATGGCCATTGCTACATTAAACTGAAACATACCTTGTGAAAACTTGTAAATGTTCGAGTCATCTGGTGATTCACTGCTTGATGGTGTGTAAACAGTTGGAGAACCTCCAGAAATAGAATGTGCCTTGGGCCGGAGACTCCGTGGCTTTAAAGGAACTTCTTCGGTAATAGATGCCACGGAGCTTTTCTCCTGACCTCCCTCTTTTCCCTGTACAACACCCCTTGTCGAGGTACCAACAGTTGTCACTTCGCTGTCAGATTTGCACCTCCTGTCGACTCCACCACGAACACTGGTTATATCACTTTCACTCAAGCTATTCCGCTGTCTGGTCAAGAGCTTTTCTTCTCCAGACGATCCCTCGATGGATGTACCTGAGGAAACAGCACTATCTCCGCTGCTTGCTCCGATGGCAGAGTCTGAGTAGTCATCAATTCCAATTGAACATCGTGGCCGTTCATTGCCAGCATAAACGGTGTCATCAAACGGTTTGTCATCGAAAGCCTCGAAATCTCCGCTTTCAGACGGTTCCTCTTCGGTGGAATTAAGCTCTGGGCTCTGCGAGTTTCCAGCATAGCCCCCAGTAACTTCCTGTTCTCTTTCCACGCTCTTAGAATGCTCAGGATTTGAGCTGGTGGATACAACTTGAGACGAAGTTTCAAGACCACCAACTGATGCAGCTGCAGAGAGAGAATCATTAAGGACATCCTGACTGTCCTGGCCAACACCCACCACTTGATTTTCATTGACTTGGCTCATCTTACCAGCGGTTCCTACATCAATGCCATGCGCAGGCTTACAAGCACCGGCATGTCTCACGTCCTCTACACTGCGTTTCCTTGTGGGAGAATTCCTTGCCAAGAACTCGGGATCATCCATGGTCTTTGCTCCAGGGCTGAAATGCATTTCCACATGAAAACGGTTCTCGGACAGAGGGTCAGCTTTAGGATCTTCATACAACAGAAGCACCAGCTGAGTCATGTAGTTCAACTCTGGAACCTCAGCTAAGAATTCTACTGCTCTCCGCCACTGGTCATTTGGAATATCCTACGAGTGAAATGTTTGGTTACACTTCGTAAAATAATATTCAGTGAGGTAAAATCGACAATCATTGTCAACTGCCATTATCAACATGGAACATGTAAATGTATTATATCTTTATCTTTTTTAAATTCAGTATATTACTTTAATATTACGTTTTACTGATTAGTAGCGGCATTTTAGAGCGGTTTTCAACTGAGGTTCGTAAAAGCAAAACCAAACTGGTCACTCTGGCCAGTCACAAAAGACACTGACAATCCTTTGAACCAATCAAACTCGAAGAAAATTCATGTAGCTGACACAGAGCGCGGGAAAACGTGTTCAAGCGAGTCACGATGGGTTTTGGTTTCACTTCTATGTGGATGACAAAATGGGGTCAGTTTTCTTAAGTCAATCCTGTAACGTAGCAAGAAAAAAACAAATTTCTTTTCGACACTCAAGTGAAAACCGCTCGATTATCTGCATCTACAGTACTTCAGTCAGTAAAATCCTTTCGCAAATCACCCACCATGAAAATAAAATATGAAATATGAATTAAAGAAACTAGCACAAAGATTACAATAATATATGAAAATTCTATATACACAAGATGAATGTTCCAGTCTTTTAGCATTCCAGGAGCAAAGCAAGATCTGACTTGTTACATTACTAAGTAATTAAGATCATAACTTACCTCAAAGAGCTTTCCATGCCTAAAAGCATTCAGCACGGTGTGTACATGACTCTCGCTAGTGAAGTACAATCGAGTCCGAACATGACGATGCGGTGTTTCTACACTCTGTGAGTAACTATAGATAAAAACACAGGGCAACACAATCAGTTCAAATTGTTCAAGACTACTTAACTACCTGCTTGAATAGCGCAGTTTTCAATACGCCATTTGCGAGACGCCTTTTGCCTCTGTCACCGCTCTGTGTCAAAAAGACTCTCTGTGCAAAACCACTCCTATGAAAGAGTGTTCCGCCTACAAGTTACTTTTAATCCAAATCAAAGTCATTTTCATACGAAAGGTTTTGAACGAGGGCCTGTTTTGATAGAGGCACAAGGTAACTCAGAAATGGCCTATAGAGTATAGTAAAGCCAAACCCAAACTAACCAATCATACATTACACAGACAATCCACTGAACCAATCAAAACTCAAGGCAAATACAATGTACATGTAGCCAACCATATAAGTCACGCAGCCGATGCAAAGCGCGGGAAAACTTTCTTTAGCCGTGACAAAACTGGGATGTCAAGATAACTGTGGGTTCTTTGTTAATGCTTCCCTTATCACATCGTAAGTAAGTTAGGATGTCTACAGAATTTTTTTTCGTTTTGAAATAGGCAGCCTTCGATAGTTTACAGAAGTATGTATTCGAAGAGACAGGTGTAACGTAGTAAAGTAGCACAGAGGCAGACGATGACTTCTATTAGAGGTCTTACTGTACAAATTATATTCAATGAATTTACTTGGGATTGAGACGAGTGTGGATGTCAGACTTATCAGCATGCCGCAGATCTCCTCTGATCTTCCTTAAAAGTCTCACACAGACTCTTTGAGCAATAGCTAACTTCTCATCTGTTGTAATCCCATATTCCTAAAGGACACAAAGCAAATCCCTTTAAATTTATTTGGTCTAATATGCTTTTCTGGCATTCATACATAAACGCCGCGTTTTCTGTAACCTTCCTTGAGGTGGTTGAGGATATTTCTCGGAACCATACTATACAATTTTCGTCAACGTAGGGGGGAGGGGAAGAAAAAAACACAACAGTAAGATGGACCAGAAGTGATGGGAATTTACCTTGTATAATCTGGTATCTACATGGTAAACAATTACCGTTTTAAAGGCCTGAAGGAGCCAGAAGGCTAAAACATGCTTGGGCATGATTCCGTATACTGTAGTGTGTGGCAATTTGAGCCCTTGCTACTTCCTCTGAATGAGATTCTAGCCCATTGCAGGTTTCCCCTCCTCAAAAAAAAAAACATTTTGTTAGGTTGCTGGAACTGTTCACTGATAGCCATCTGCAGGTACATGGAACACCTGACTCCAGGGTTGAGACACATCATGACTGGGAAGTGACTTGCCCAAGAATGCTACACACCAGTGTCGGCCAGGGCCTGGTTTAGAGTCTAATACAGTAACTATTAGACCACCATGCCATGGTTCTTTTTGTTTATTTCAATGACTCACCTGTGGAATAACAATGTCTGCAAAAGCCTTGGCGCATTTGTACAAATCCAGACTGTTTGTGAGACCCAGTTGACTAAATGAGATCATTACAGAGTAAAAATATAATCAGTACCGTTGCTAAAAGTTAAATTCACTCAAAGCACTATAGAAACATGATTCTCTGTTAACATAGTCGTGTCAGCCATAATTTAATATTCTTCCATGCCAGACATGTTAATATTTAAGGTTAATTAAAAGTACCAGTACACAAAAACATTTGCGTGTGGGTTTCTCATTCTCCAAACCTTTGAAGAGATTGATTGTACATTGTGACGTACATTTAAAAAGCAAACGTTATCTAAAAACGTTTTTAAATCCTGTACCAACCTATTATGCTGCACATCATACTTGATACAGTCGTAGATGTCTGGAATAAGACTTATATCAAACTGCCCACTTTTCAGCTTGAAATCCTGAGAATTACAAAAAAACAATGTTGATACTTGACCAATTATTTTAATTCATATACAGCTAACCCAAAAAACACAGCACCATGAGCAAAGCCAGGACTCAAAGCCGCATGTAGACAGGGGCGGATCTGGGGGAAGGGTGCAGGGGCTGTGCACCCCTCCTAATATGGCATGCAGCTTTCTAATATAACTGATATTTGTTAACCTCACCAGTCAGTTACGCCATTCCTTAGTGGTGCACCCCCTCCTGAGAAGAATCCTGGATCTACCCCTGATGCAGACTGGGCAATCCAGGGTCCACCACAACTCCCACAACAATCGTTTTTCAATACATGTCATTCACTATTAATAGAAATTTCACCTTTTCTAGTTTTGTCCATCTGTGCATCATTAACTCCAGCGTTTCATCATGGTACAGAAATGGAGCTGTGTAGCAGAGAAAGGAAATGAATGAACCTACGTACTAGGTAAAGGTCAAGTCTGCATGTGAACCAAGTGGCCCATCAGGCTGGAGCTTATCCCATTTTCTGAAGTGACTAGGAGTATTTCTACTCCCCCCTGGATGGGATACTAGTCCACTGCAGGGTTACCCCCAGCATTTAAGTCGCTGGTACCCATTTATACACCTGGGTGGAGAGACGCACTGTGAGAGTAAAGTGTCTTGCCCAAGAACACAACACAATGTCCCCAGCCAGGGCTTGAACTTGGACCGCTCGATTCAGAGTCAAGCTAACCATCAGGCCACAACACATCCACAATAAACCTATGTGCTGTGATGTAAAATGTACTTTTGGTTCAAACATTTTAAACTAGCTTGATTTTTAAGTTTTTTACTGTTTCAGATTGTGATAATGAACATGATACACACAAATTAAAAATCAAAAGAAACAACAGAAACAAATTCAAACCATGACACAAACTTTCCTTTAAATATTTGTAGTGACAGGGTTCAAAAGGTAGAAAAACACACACATCTCTACAATTCATTGATCATGCACCCAACTCATACAGTACCTCTTGGATCAAAATCCTTCTGAGCAATCATGTCCTTCAGCTGTCCTGTAAGATTGTGCACCAGGTTATAGAGCTTTTCACACATTTTGTAAGGATTCTTGACAAAATTCATAGCATTGATCACAGAACGAGACTTGGTTGGTGCAAGCTGTACAAAGCAAATGGTCAAAAGTAAAATTTAATTTAAATTTCTTTGAAGACCTCGAATTTGCTGTAAGCCCTCAATCCAGCAGTTACTATCAATTTTCTTTACAAAGTGGGTGTCCACAGGTCCCCATATTCCTTTGGATACTTAGAGGTTTAGTAAACTTTGAAATTACCAAATGAATACTGTTTGGAAAGTGGGAAAACCAAATGACAAAAGCTCTTGGAAGTACCTCTACAGAAAGTAATGATTCCGCAAAGAGGCTCTGATGGAGTTCTAAAAGATCCACTCCCAGTAAGTGCATGTAGACAAATACACAAACCTTGGCAAAATCCTCCTCTTTGAAATCCTCATTAGAGTGAAGAATTTCATGAAGTCTGTGTTTCACCCTGTGTCACCATAAAAAATAATGAAGATATATAACGATAGAAATAAATTATTATTAAATAGTAAAATAATTACACAGTGGCTCAGTAACTTATTGATCTGGCCCACATTGTTCAAAAGGTGGATAATGCTATCCACAGGATAAATCACTATCCAGAGGATAGCATGGGTTTTTTTGTTGACACTTACCCAATGGATAGCATTACCCAGCCTTCAAACAACTGGGGCCAGGAATATTAAATATATACTTCACTTAAAATGTGAAAAGACTAAAAATGTTTGTATACAATTGAGATACAGAAAAATAATGGTGTGTGTGTTTGTGCGCTTACAACACACATGAACATGTGAACTGATGCAAACATAAGGGTGTTTAAGGGAGAATTTGAAGGTTTATGAAGGTTCACACATTACAATTATAACAATAAGTACTTTGAAAGTCTCCTAAACCCCCTCAAGCATTTACATGAAGTTGTGTAAGCTCAAAGCATCTATTCTTTCCTTCATACCATAGAATAAAACCTAAAAAATGTCATGTAATATCATCACCAAATTTACATATTAAGCTGATCTGTATGTAGCATGGTTACATATCGAATCAAAAGGTGTTTTCTACAGTCACAGGGCAGGAAAAACCCAGGTCCCATTGCATGCATGCGCTGATTAAAAGTGAATGATGAACTTACTTTCCCAGTATCTTGGCAGCATCATTGGAGGTGTCAAGCATCTCTGTAGTATTCTTATCACTTCGTACAAGATGCACAAGAACAGGTGTCAGTTCACCTTCGAGAGCCAGGAAGCCCTACACACAACAAGTAAAAAAGATTAGCAACAGAAAAAGGCCCAAAGCACCTTTAGGAGATTAAAAATGTGTCTTGGTGATATTTCTTTTGCTGATATGGGTACATTTATGACACTCTTTTTTAGCATTAACCTTAATACCTTTGCAAAGGCAGCAGCTGTCATTTGCACTCGTCCCTCATCTGATGCATAAATCTTCAAATCATGTCTGTAAGTACTGTGAAGTCGCAGCAGACCAATACCTGACATTTTAGAATACTGTCCTTGGCCGCCAGGGTACATACTCCTAAATAAATTAACAAAAACAATAAATAAATTTGTTATAACAATTTTAAAAAAAACTAAAAAGGGGTGCAAAATACAAGTTCAATACTTACAGTCCTACACTGTATGCTATGGATAAGTTTTGTAGCCCTCTATTTTCTCTAGAGATGGTACAACACACAAGAAGCACAGAGATAAAAAGCAAGCCTAACTACTCATTCAAGACAGCATATCACTACCTGAAGGCACGTCCCAGCTGTAGTGCCTGTTCCTTTCCCATGGTGGTCAATTCTCCACCCCACTTAACAATCAACAACAAAGAATGATCCTTGTCAACAGGAACTGCCAGTTTGTCTTCACTTCCTTTCTGATCAACCTCCTCAGTCTCTTTTGGTTCTTCACTTCCTTGAGTTTTAGTTTCTTTACTTTCCTTCCTCTTCACTTCTTTCTCATCGTTAGCCTCTGCTTGCTTGTTTTTTGATTCCTTTCCTTGTTTCTTTTTTCCACTTCTTTCATCTGATCCTGAATCTCGACTTTCACTGCTCTGGCGACTTTCACTGCTCTCACTTTCATTTCCATCTCTAGGTTTACCAAGGTATTTGAACTGAATTTTTCGGTTGATTCCAGAGAAATAACCATACCTAAGAAGAAAGGATGAAAATGGAGATGGCTGGTTGAATGGAAAATTAATTAGTATACCATAATGGACTGATTTAGCACTCTGCTTCTAATAAGTGGCCCCATATCTAAAGTGACATTTGAGAATGTGACATAGAACAGACTGATTACTAGACAAATGAAATATAAACTTGTCTGCTTTTCTGCTTTCTGCTTTCCTGCTTTCTGAATGTAAATTATATTGAACATTACAGCTATCAGAGCCCAGTTTGTTACAGTTCCTGAGTTAAATCATCAGTTTTTTTGAAATTTAATATTATACCATATCCAGCTGTAATAAGTCACTCATCCCTAATACTTGCACCCTCTCCAAAAAGTACCCTCTCTCAAGCTACCAAAAGTAAATTAGCACCTGGTCACTAAATCAAATCATTATGATATACAAAGTCTGAGACAAGACCCTCAACAATCAAGGTGCCATAAAAATAACTGTAAATAAGCCCTAGACTTACACTTCTCTAAAACAGTTGTGTAATTAATATTGGGAAGGGATTTTGTGCCTGAAGAATTTAAGTAGGCATATAGGGCAATATCACGGAGGAGGGGTGTCTAAACATAACATTAGGGAGCTTAAGCAAGGAAGATGGCAATGCTGAGAATGATGCCTAGTCAAAAATGAATTTATATTTCACAAGGGAAATTTGCAACTGTCTAGATCTGTTCAGTACACCAATGGCTCTAAAAACATGCTCAGGCTAAATATGCAATGACAGCATTCAATAGACCAATTTTGATATATTACATGTAAAATTCAGCCTAAAACAATACACCTCAGTACAAGGCTCCAGGGAATAACTGCAGAGTTTGGGGGGTTTATTCCCCAAAGCCTCATACTGAGGTCTGTTGCATTAAGCTGAATTTTAATATATCTAAATTGGTCTATTCCAAATAGAAATACTAAAAATTAGCCGTCATCATTCGTGTTGCTCAGACTACATAAAACTTGGTCATTTGACATTCCTGTTTTGTAGGGGACGGTAAAGAAATATACAAGGATTTATAACGCAGGTGCACAGCCATTGTTTTGCCAATTAAACCGTTTCTCTGGAGATGTTAAATTCGTTGCCATTGTCATCGTGGTTTGCTTAAGCACCCTAATTGAAACACAGAACAAGTAATGCAGACATCAAATAAACACTGGTGTTAGAGCAAACTGTATCTGACTTACACTGACAGGCTTAAGAGTTGTAACAACTTAAGATTGTATCACATTAAATTTATGTCTTTCTTAACTAGGTTACAGAGCCGAGAGGACACTTTCATTGGAAAGAAGGAGGGGAAGGAGTGGGTAGAGGATCTTTTGATTAATAGGTTTGAGTGATTATAAAAATGGGTTGGCATTAACTTAAAGATACTTTGAAACAAATGTTCTTTCGGTCTTCATCAATTATAATCATAACCAATGTGAATGAGGACCCAAGTTGTTCAGTTAAAATGTATTTTTAGTGTCTTTTCCAGAACATTTGTTTCAGCATGTTCTAAGCCAGTGTCAAATTAATTAATATAGATATCTTTTAATCATTAATCCTGGCTGCAGTTTCAGTATTTTTTGTATAACTTCAGCATGAATTAACTCACATTTCTAAAACACTTTTGAGTTGGTGGATTTTGTTACGACTTTCAAACACTGGCTTCCCCTCCTTGATGTCAGCTAGCAAATCTCTGGCAATATTCAACACCTCTTGCAACTGAGTTGGTCTCTTGAGCTTGAGCTTTTGTTCATTAAAGCCATTGTACTTCTTAAACAGCTCGATAAATCTGGCAATAAAAGGTTACAGTAAGCTGCTAACCTGCAAATACTTACATGATGTTTAACACACGTTCCAGGTAACACTTTTTATGTTTTGGAACACTTTTAATTAGTATTTTAGTAAGAGTATTCATTTTCATTGACATAGTTGACTAAGACCTACAATCATGGACAAAAGTGTTGACACATTTGCGCAAAGCAAATGCTTTCTATTGGCGTCCTTCTTTAATTGAAAAAACATCTTTTTTTGTCGATAGCCAAACCCCCCTCTCCTCCTTTTCAATGTTGAAATATGCTCCGTGGACAATGTTACATGGTTACACCAGTGAAAAGGGGGGAGGGGTTCGAAATGTGAAAATTGGAGATTTAAAAACTCACCCGTTCAATGAAACAGGTTTTTTTTTTCGGGAAGTGTCTCAACTGCTTTTGTCCATGATTGTAGCTGAATGTTAAAGGAGCCCAGTCACTGTAATAGTTACTGAGGTTATTTTGGATGCACACACAATTACCTTTCCATTGAAAGAAGCCTGAAATTGTAGCTTGCTAAGATTGAAAAACACCAAACAGATAATAATAAACTACAAGGGAACAAGGAGGTAAGGGCAGGAGAAGATTCACATGGATTACAAATGACAAACTTGTAAAATTGATGTAAATCCTCTTAGGTTAGCTTTACTGATTATAGGTGGAGTGAGGATCTGCATTAGATTAGGATCTGGATCACTGTTAACTAAAGGTGAAAAATGGGAGCTGCAGTTTGAAATTTTACTGGAAATAATGCAGTTACCATAATGAACACAACAACAACAAAAAATAAACTTTCTTTTAGATATTTGACACTCTCACCTTGGATGTCTCACTTCCATTTTCATTTTCTGTTTTGGAGTTCGGTCACCATGTCTGATGATTCCAACCACACACCTTAACTCCAGCATGGTACCTTCCAAAGCTTCAACAGTAGGAATTTCCTCTTGCACATCTAGATCATATGGTTTGTACAACTGAGGAGCTAGTTCTTGTACAATAAGACTCATTAACACTTGTGCAGCATCATCGTAGTACTTCTTGGAGGTCTTGACAAAGCTAAAGCCATTGACATCGCAAACATATGACTTGCCATGGGTGCGGAGCAAGTCACAACCACAGACCGTTTGCTAAGTGAAAAAGGAAAACCATTATAAAGGTAGAGTCATTTAAATTGTAATGCAGTCGAAGCTGTTATGAGAAAGTCATCTTGTTTCCAGAAATTCATGAGGTCAAACAAATTTGAGCACTATGCTACAAGATTAAAAAGCCACACTGACCATGAATGCATGCCCTTCATTTTGTCCAGTTACGTGCACTCCGGAGCATGAATAGCCTACTATGCCGATGCTCTTTGGGTTTGTCATGCAATCTTCCTCATAAAGAGTATCTGCATAGGAGGCTAGGGCATGAACAGCAGTTGTGCAAATAAGTGTATCTCTAATATCCTCGTGAGGCCTTGACAATGCAAAGATTATTATTAACAGTAAAACATAATCACACTTTGCCTCCAGGTCAGCTCAGGTTTGATTTGCACAAGCCCCTTGCTTACTTTGGCACATCTAATCCACCAATTTGAATACTACTGTTAGTAACTAATTTCTGCACATTATTTGAATTTAATAACCTTTCCACTTGGATTTGACAGAAAAAAAAATCAGCAATCCATTGATGTTGATGATGGATTCCTCTTTCATGATGATTTCACAAACAGATCAGAGTGCCATACCTTGAACAGTTTGCAGACTTTGTTTGCTAGTTCTTTCTCATACTGGTTGAGAATAACTGGGTAACGTATCTCTTTCCCTTGGCTGTCCCTTTCAACTTTTCCATCCAGTGAGGGAGACTTGCGGGCTTCAGCATGAGCATACTCTGGGCCAACAGTGTACACCTTCAACCAGTAAACATTTACAGAAGTGAAGTAGGGGCTTTTTGAAATACCTAATGGTTGCTGGCCAATAACATTATTTATAAATTTTCACATAAATTCTTTCCACTGGAATCTCAGATCAATTTCTGACAGAGGATGAATTGAACACACAAAGAAAGCTGATTATTTTTAACCTAATTATCTCACCTTCACATCTGTTCCATCAGTGACTACAAAATCTTCATAGATGTATGACCCTTCTTTCCGTACTGAGCTCTCAGCTGAGTACACACTACTTCTATTCCCAACCTTTCTGAACAATCTCTGGCTCCCGCCGCCAGCTCCTGAGGGGTAATATATGTACACGTTATGGTCCTCTGCACTCACTGGTTTCTCAACAAAGGGTTTTTGGAACACCACATCACCTATCTGCACTGAATCATCTAGTTCAACAAATTTTGTGTTTATAGGATTTCCGTCTTCATCTCGCAGCAAAATTGCGTGTCTTGGTGTTTCTATTCCTGCACTCTCTAGAAGACTGTACATTGTTGGTCTACAAAGAAAAAAGAAATAACAATGACTTTTGGAAATCAGATTATTTGTACACTTTTCTGTACATAAAATACTTTCTCCGAAACCAGAATGCACTAAACCAAAATGTAATTGGACTGTGAACACACAACAACAACTAACAATACAACATTGCTGATGCACAAAATTAATGTAAGGGTGTTAAGTGTAGGGTAGAGTGACTAATTATTCAGTCTGTATTTAACATTTTGACTAGGACAACATTTACAAGAAATTTGACTACAAGATGAAGATTTTGAACTCTTTTAGTCAGCAAATGAGAACTGTTTGCAGCTTGGAAAAACTCTACCTTTTTCTGCTCTTCTAAACTTTAATTTTCATTTGTTTCATATACAGAGTTGTCAAAGGTACAAGCTGTCACTGCTGGAGAAAATAACTATCTACATTGTAGCTAGCTACACTGTACTCTTTTGGATTAATTCTTGAGAAAAACCAGCCAGCCTATTTACTCCCACAAATATAACAACCTATTGAAAACTTTGTGACAGCCCTCATACATTTTCTAAACCTGGAAAACTAGTTTCCAGATTTGCACATACATGTACAGTACATGAACGTTCTCAAGAACTGTAGTCTCCACTGTACAAGCCCTGGCATCACTACATGATAATGATTGTTTAGTGCCTGCAGTACACCGTATCTTACTTCTCTCTTCATCACCATATCTTTACACCTTTTAGCTGGAAATAAAAAAAAAAAAAATTTTGATAAACTATCCACTAAAAGTTTACAAACCTGTCCAGTAACGCAAACTGCATCTCTAGGTCGTTAAGACTAAACGGCTTCCTTAGCTTGGCATACTCGATAGCTTTCTCAAGAGGAAATCCTTTAGAGTAAAATGAAATCAGGCAGTCACAGATGGGCCATTCCTCAACTGGGATGTTCACGATGGTGTCATCAGGAAAAACAAAGATATCCACACAATCAAATGCACTCATACGACCCAGAATCTCTTGCATAGGCTGCGAGTTAGTCTATATGGAATAAAGGAAAACACAGAACAGAAAATAATGTAAATGTAACTTCAAAGACTTTGCATAAATATATTATTGTTACCTGTATTCTATAGTTTATTTGCAAAGGACTTTACGTTGGACACCAGTGGAGTTTGTATTCTGGTTCTGGTTCTGGTTCCACTTGGTCACCAAAGGACAACCACTGTAAAATTTGGCATGCATAACGTAACCTGCCATTTATTAGCCTACAGTAGCAAGTCTATCTTAGCACAACTATCTAATGGATTTAAAATTTTGATAGGTGAAAACTTAACCTGACCTGAAATATTGACTGACAAGGTCAACCTACAAGCCAGTTTCTTAATTCTTGTACACGAAATCAAGAAAAAAAAACACAAGAGGGCAAAAAATTTGTCTGGTCAAACTGACCAGCGAACCGACCAACATTGCCTTTGGACAGACAAATGAATGAAGAAAATTACACATAATTACAAACTTGATTTTCTCGTAAATTAGGTTTTTTGCCTCCAGTTTCCATCCTGAATAGTGACTATTATTTTGCCTAGTCATATAAAGCATTCCAAAATGTGCAAATATAGTTGCAGGCTATTCTAGATTATTAACGATAATTATTTTGTAGATTACTGTAATATTAAAATTTCAGACCTTTGGGGAAAGTCGATAAAGGATGTACATTTAAGTATTTTTACACAGATACTTAATTCTATCCTGTTTAAGCAATGTTAAAGTATCTGTAAGATTAATTTCATTTTAAGCTTAAATATGGAAGTCACCTTTTTACTCATGGCACAGATTCCAATCCTGATTTTAGGTATTCCATCTTCTTCTTCTTCATCATCATCGTCATCATCCGCGACATCAAATCTACTGAAAGGTCTTGGATAGTCACCCATTTGTTCCAAAAAATCAAGAAGGCTCAAAGACGACATGACACTGAGTGACACCTCTCATTTACACACCATCCCCTCATTTTGTAGACAGCTCTGTTGATAAAGGTTGAAATGAGCTCCAGTTTATTTTAGTTAAAGTTGTGACAATTTATTAATCAAGCTTCAAATATATGATTCATTTCAAACTTTAAATTACCTAGCTTAAGAATTACTTAGTGAGAAAAGCTGATGTCTGTATATAGTAAGGTTGTTGTTTTATTAAATTAAGCTCACTGCACATCTCTAAGCTCGCAATTTTTGGGAAATATATTGGCCAAAAGAATAAACAGGTTATAAAAATAAAAGTGAAACTACCTTTGACCTACCGACGAACAAAGATCAACACAAAAGAACAAACCCTGCGAGACAGAGATCAGAACAGGAAAAATTTTTGCTAAAAAAATTGCCCTTAAAATGGAGAAACGCCGGAAAACCAAATGACGTACTCGTGTTGGGCACATGCCATTAGGGACAGCGCGTCTCCCAACCCCAAAATGCATCGGGAACGAAAGAATGTCGAGATCGAAATGTATTGTGGGCCAAAATATAATCAGATACTGGGAGCCTGGTCTCTAACACTTGAAACGCCTGGTTGATTTCAGCTTTAAAACGCAGTTAGCGACCACCAGCCCACGTTTTCTCGAAATATTTCTGAAA